GACAGAAAAGGAAAAAGTTGTCCGCGTAAAGTTCAGCACTACATATGTAAACAAGCGGAGACTGCCTCTCATGGCGCCTGTCTGAATGCTGCGCTTTCTCTGAAAAATAACCTAAGTCAAGGTTTATCTATAACCTCTCATACGAGCCGACATGCCCAGGACACATTTGATATACACAGCACATTGCAGCTAGCATGCTCGGACTTGCAATGTGTTTGCACTTTGGACACAATTCTATACATATGTGTATATGTTCTTAGGTTTTTTCGGTAAAGTCACGTAATACTTGCAGTCACGAAAGCTTCAAATCTAGAAATATGTATATATGCACAGCGCGTGTATACATTTCGGCAACCTGCAATTTTTATGGACTTGTGAACTACAATTAAATATGAATGCACCACTCTCTGCGTAAGTGTGCACTGGTTGTCAGGTAAACGTGAAAAAAATTAACCTCATATGTGCAGGGTGAGCCCCAGCCACGGTCCAAATGTCATGCAGCAGCAGTGGCGTGAGTGACGCGAACATTGAATATCTTGCAGTGAGGCCAATCAGTCCTCGCTCTGCAACCCTAACACGCAAGCACTTTCATGTTCATGGCCGCTGTGCGCGTAACAAAGCGCCCGTGGCAAATGTTGAACGTTCATTTTCTTTCTTTTTTTCCATCTCGCGCACACTTTTCAAACGATGTCGCGGAAAGTGAGAGCAAAAAAAAAGATTGCATCAAGCCGCCGTCAAGGTGTTCTGCCCCCTCACAAATATCCGCACGTCCGTGGAAGCAAAGCACGCACTTAGCCCGTGCTGCGCCCAGGACGTACAGAGAAGCACGGCCACCGAGCTGCACTGAGCTCCCGCATGCCTCGAAATAGATTTTTGTAAAATCGATTAAGTACGACACACGTACTTTATTTATTTCCTTTAAATGGATTCCCTTTAACATTTTCAACAACAACAACGACGACGCAAGAGTGAATAGAAGCGAGGTGCACAGTGGCACAACACCGACGCACGCACCGGAGATGCGGGGGTGTTCCTCGGCTGTGATCTACGCAACAGGAAATATACAAAGGGATAAGAAGAGATAGCAGCAGAGGCAAAGGATAGCAAGAGGAGGGAGGGAAGGGGGATGTTTGGGGGGGGGGGGGATTGATTGAGGTTACGGAACGGTGAGAAAGTCAGGTCCGAAACGAATCAGCAAAGGGACCACGTCCTCGTGGAACCCTGTTCACGAGGAATATTTATGCCTCGACTCCAGTTGTTCATAATGAAGCAGTGGGTATGGCTCCGCAGATGTAGCTTCTCCCCATGTGGCTTTCTTAACGCTACGTCGCCACGCCACAGCAGTGATACTACATTGCCAAGTCAGCAACTGTTTGCTTGCATGCACAGAATTGAATAACATAACATGCCGTAGTTTTTAGTTTTAATTCACCAAACGACATTGTCGAGCACGGTGAAGTATGATGGTATTAACCCCCACACTCACGTGGCACGCAGAGGCCCTCATACAGCAATGGATTGACAAAAGGGCAGGACATGCACACGTTTTTTTTATTTGAAGCTTATGCATATTTAAGATCAGCCTTATAGACTGTTTTATCCATTTGCTCAGCTTTGTAAGATGAAGTGCTGAAAGGATGTGAATTTCCACAGGGTATTCAATCCCATACACATAACGTTCAACATTACGTAAAAATAATAGAATACAAATTAAATTGTCATGTAAAGTCATACTGGGAGTGGTTTATATTATAATGAGCAGATTACACTCGTTCGAATCTGTATGTGACGAGATAACAGAGGGTCATCAACACAGCCCAAAAGATCGCCGGCTGCCATCTCCCCACACTGGAAGAACTACACAGTTCACGTTGCATCAAAAAAGCACAGAACATTATAAAGGACTCTTCTCACCCTGGACACTCACTGTTTGAGCTGTTGCCATCAGGCAGACGATTCAGATCAGTCAAAACAAGGACAAACAGATTCAAACAGAGCTTTTATCCTACAGCGATCACCACACTCAATAATGCTAATTAATTATTAAGTAATAGTGTTTACAATTGACTGTGAAATAGAGATGTGCAATGACAAAATGTAACCTTATGTGGGTATATTTGGGCTGTTTTTATATATAGTATAAATTGATTATCTTTCATTTAATTTTATTTTTATTTTCTTGTTTTGTTTAATTTAAATTTATGAATGATGCCCTGACTGGTGAGCATTTTAAATTTCGTTGTACTGGTGACAATGACAATAAACGATCTATCTATCTAACACATCATAACAGTAAAAGTAATGCAGGCTGGAAACAAATAAGATTAACAACACGCAAATCGTGTGCAGCATTGTGTGTACGAACGCTCTCAGCCTTATCCAGACCACCAGCTCCAGAGAACTGCATTTGCCGTTCTGAAACGCCAGCACGTGTGCAAATGTGCGTAAAATTCCCACCTCTGTGGGATGGTGAGACTCCACGACTGCGTCGGTTTTCGCGATGGCGTAGCTCGCAGATGCGTTGCAGAGTTGTCCGACGCGCTAGCCCCGTGCCTTGCCGCTCGCTTCGATGTCCGACGACGTTTCGGTTCGTGCAGAAGATCTCTGCACGCGCAGGAAGATGTCGGGCACCATGTGGTGAAACCAGAGATGTAAAACCACCTTGCCTGGTGTACAAGGAGGTCGTGGGTTCGATCCCCACCCTGACGCCGATATATTTGGAGTTTGCGTGTCTCTCTCGTCGTGATCGTGCGGATTTTTCTCCGGGTCTTCCGGATTCTCCCTCCACATTTATAAACACGCGTTTAGAGTATTTGGCTGCTGTACGTTTCCACGTGATAAGCCACTTCGTTGAGCTATCATTTGTGGCCAAGTCGCTTCTGAAAAAGACCTACATTACTCAGTGGGCCTTACCTGATTAAAAAAAATAGTTTAGTTTAGTAGTACGAATGCATATCAATCACTGCTCGCAGTTCACAATTAGCATGACTGACGCCTAGATACCAACTTCTTATTCATCATTGCAAGTCGTTGAAATTGAATATCTGCACCACTCCATTGTCTGGTAATTGGTAAACACAGCCAAAGATTCCAGTCTATGAGCTGTCTAAACAATACTCTCCTGGAGCACATCAGGTGTCCTTACTGTGTGCGTACTGCACTCAATTGTGGGTGAATACAGAGGAGGGGCAGGGTGTGAAGGAATTTTACACGCAAGCATGGTTTCACCATTTGCATCACCACACACACGATGCTGGTTTAACCATTGTTCTATACGATGACATTTTGAGCAGAATGTCACAGGAAGTGACTGACGCTCCTCGGCACATGGAGCGAAACGTTGGACACCATGCCGAACAACACGAGGGCATAACCAGGAAACACATCAGAGGGGTAGAAATTGCATACTGCAGTTGGGATCCTTTCCCCCGATCACTCGCTTGAAAGAGTGCCACGTACGGGCACCACGAGCACAGTCGGAGGAACATGCGGCTACCGAAATGCTCCTGTTATTTGTTTGCGGTTTACACGTTTATCTTCTGTGCTGCAAGGAAGAGATTCCCCCTTAATAGGGAGACCCAGCCGTCCCACTGGAAGGGAAACGAATGGCTCTGCCAACAGCCAAAATGCCATCTCCACGAGCAAATGAGACTTTGCCCATGGGCTTCGGATCATCGGAGAATCTGAAAACATCAATAAATGCGAATGTGCAATAGAACGTCTGCCACCGGATAGAAATGGAATTGGGTTAATAATCAACTCAGCAGAGCCCAGTTCAGTCAAACTCAGCAACATAAATTCTCGATTTGAGTTATCGAGGGTGCTCTGAAAATGTGACATCCAGGACTGAGCATCATTGTTAAGACAGTTTAACACGTGGTAGGAGGCTTTCGCGACCAATATCATCCATATTAGATATTTTTGGGGGGGTTAAATCGCGTAAATATATAAATGCGTTGTTAAAACCCGCCACCACCCGACACAGTTAAACAGAACATGCCAATTCGTCACATGTACGGCACACTGGTATGTTGGAGAGCCAAGCCACAACATTTACAATCTGAGTACGACGTTTCGCCAGTAATTACAACTAGCTTCATCAGGCGACAGCCAGATTTGTGGAGAAGTCTTACTGTTTCGTTCCTTATATAGAGGAATAGATGTGTTAAACACGAAGCTGCGCTCTTGCGCAAAGTGGGGGCGGGGGGGGGGGGGTTTACTGAGTCAACATACATTATGCATGTGCATTATGTGAGCGCAGAAGCGTGGTCACCACATCTACGCCTCTATATAAGGAACGAAACAGGTGGACTTCTCCACAAATCTGGCTGTCGCCTGATGAAGCTAGTTGTAATTACTGGCGAAACGTCGTACTCAGATTGTAAATGTTGTGGTCTGGCTCTCCAACACACCGGTGTGCTGTACTAGTGACGAATTGGCCACGTTCTGTTTACGTGACAACCCTTACTAGTTGGCTGTGTTGGGTGGTGGTGGGTTTTAACGACACGTTTATATATTTACGCGATATAATCCAAAGCACCTCTATTATGGATTATTAATACTGTCCAACTAGAGCTATGAATAATTATGGATAATATAAATAATAGCACAATTACAGACCTTTTAAAACCCATGGTTAACAGTCCTCCGACGCCATTTCAATCATGTTTGTTGTTTGACTATACTTCACCATGCTCATGGGGGTCAGGAACCAGTACAGATATCACTCATCGCTGATATCTGTGGCTGGAATCAAACTCAGGACACTAATTTTAGAGCGCAGCGCGCAAACAATTTCCCTGTCACTCCATCAAATTTATTTTGAATAATATTGGAAGACCTTACATGATTCGGCATTGGAACACTTCGTGAGTTTTGAAATTTAGAAAAGTACAATATATTGGCAAGGATTACTAACATACAGCACTGGTTTTATATTAGTACCCCTAGAGGCATCAACAATTAAGACGCTTTGTGTTTTCTGGATGTATTGCGTGCAGGTAGTCGACGGAAGCTTCCCGGAAAACTGAAGAAGCTTCCAGAAGGGGCTCCTCAGCACGCGGAGTGAATCGTCAGACATCGTGTCGAACGGCGCGCGGCACAACCCAAAAACACACATCTGAGAGCTGATACAACAGGGCAATCGCGACAAACCCTCGCAGTAGATCTTCTTTTTTTATTCCACCATTGATTTTTGTAACACCTATTTGTTGAAGTGGAGGTAAGGGAGCGGGTTTGGGTTGGCCCTGCCTCATTTAATTTAAACACTCTTCACAAAATAACTATAGCACACTGCGTGTATGGAGTTAGTGCAGATGCAGCCAATGCTTTTATTGGAAGGAATGGAGCACTTTCTCTTTAATGCAAGGGGTCAATTTGGCCGTAACACCTGCGTGCGGGATATATAGCGTGCAAATGTACGCCAGCCTGTTAACCTCATTGATCCTGTGCTGGGAAGGATTTATATCGAGGGCTTTACATTAGAGCCGGGAGAACCTCTTGATCACAATCCAAGGGATTGTTTAGCCCGATTAAGACCGTGGGCTGATCCTACCATAGATCGTGGCCAATTTTTTTCAACGAGCCAGAAGTGGGAGGGAGGAGTTTGCGTCTTGCCAGCGGTTGAGAGGCATCGTGGTCCCAGCCCGTGATATGGAGCAGAGGAACACTCGCCATGGTGACCGAAGGGGCTATTAATGAACACATACAATTCCCTCCGATGTTCCCTTCACCTCACCTAACTAAAGCCCTAAATCCAAAATTGTAATAGGTGCAGCAGGATAAAGCGCCTGATCTTGCTCCTTGAAGATCACCCGTAATGAAGCAAGCATGAGCCCGGGCACTGTGTCTGTGTGTGTAACGAGGCTCACAGTTACACCACGCAGGCCTCGGAGGACAGGGCCCGTCCAGTGACGGTCCTGGCAGAAGCCGTGAGCTGGCGGGATGGTTTGTACCATAGCACCGTGGAGATCGTTAACCGTGGCGAGTGAGCTCCCAGACCTACGGGGTTTGAGCTAGGCTGTACCAGTTGACCGGTAAATGCCAACCAAGGAGGTAAAGCATGAACGCTACATATGTGGCCAGGTGGCTCAGCGATATCATGAATGCCTTGCAGTCAGATGGTTGCACATTCGAATCGTGTCTTGGGGTTGTTGACTGAGCCCCGTATTCCTTTCAGGGTCGATGCAATTATTACCATTTTGTGGAGAAGACAACAGTGGCTGTCCTATGGACATACTTGCGCCCAACATCAGAATGTGGATTTTTTTTACCATTGTCTCAGAGCTGTAAACAGGTGATGAGCACTGCCTCAAAGTTAGTTTGAGCAGTAAATCACTGACACATTTGACCATAAACCAAATGCGTGTGTTGGTGACTTAGTTTGTAATGTAACTGCAATTCTGTTAAAATACTTAATATTTTGCAGTCCCTATACGTTCGTAACAATCATAAGGTTATGCATCATTTTGCATAAAGAATATAGCTTGATGCATATATGTTACGAGCAAAATTGCTTCTTCCCTTTATTGTCTTTTTATCGATGTATACAGTATATATATAAATCATGCCATTGTTGGCATTTAATGAGATAGAGTATCCATTCAGAACTCTGTCCAAGAAAAACATATATCTGTGTTTTAGACAGTAACCCATGGAAATATTTCACAAAAATACTTCTGAAAATACCTTTATATTTAAACACGATGGGCGACACTTGATCACACACGCTGCTACAGAGAGAAATGTTCATCAAATAACAGTCACATATATATAGTCTTCTCAGCAATGACATTTAACCAAGTAAAGTTCAACACCCTAACTTAACGCGATGCCTTTTTGTCTGGTCATTGACGATTGGACTGAAACCATAAACTCATCACACTTGTTCATAATCAAGTTTTTTTATAACATTGGTCGCGAAAGCCACATTTGAGAGCCTGGTTTAATCACAGGCACCTAAAAACCAAATTTGAACCCAAAATCTCAGCGGTATCAGTTGAGTGCTTTGACCCCTGAACAACCTGCCCCCCTCGAATATTGTATTGGAATTTCAATTTAAAAAAAAATCTAGGCCAACCTCAGATTATCATATATATTCAAAAAAGGGTATGCTTGTTCAAATGATCACTGGGTGATGCCCATGTATGTTAGTGGTCCAGAGTCAGTTGCAATTTTTTTCCATGTGAAGACTATTGCCTTCTCATCATCATCATCGTGCATGATCTATCCACTGCTGGATGAAGGCCTCCCCAGGCCATCATCATCTTCCACTGTCTTGTAAAGAAACAATTTATCTCGCTCCTGCACATGAGCCGATTTCATCGCTACATCTTTATTCACAACTACCACTTTATTTTATAATGCAGTATCACACTAGTTTGTCGGCGATGACTTCATTAACTACACAGTTTACTCAATACTCTCATGTGCTTTCCAGTTTTTTTGTCGATGATGTATGTCTTCGATTGTTTAGTGAACTTGTTCTATGTGATTTACAATTTAATTAATTTTCTCCATGACTTTTCTCTTGCTCATATTCATCATTTACTGGAGACTCTGTTCCATTGGTTGTTACAATGACTATGTCACCACTGAATCTGAGATGACTAATATATTCTCCCTTCATATTTATGCCTTTTTATTACACCATTGTTTCTCGGAACCAATTTTCTTCACATCAGGTCGTAATTTTATCAGCCGCAGTGATATGATACGCTGAGTCAACCGTATATTCCACCTACTGAGGTGTATCGCAGTCATTATCCTCGTGGATAAGGCGGTGCATGTGCAAAGTGGTGGAAGGGCCAATGGAGAGCATCAGCCTGCCCAACGGACGGACTGCCCTCGAGTGTACTTTGCAAGAAGCAGCATCACGTGCCCCTCTGAGAGTGCGTTTGTGACTAGGTCTTGAAGAATGTTTGTCTTCCAAGGCCAAGCAAGAGCTCATTTTAACCAGAATAAACCTGGGACATGTGGTATCGAGGATTCGCTGTGTATGCCTAGAGTCGTTGATATAGGCAAACAACTAAGCATTTTTACCATTTAATCTTAGGGGGAGTTTAAAATATTTCAAAAATGTTTTCCCCTCCTTTATATATATATTTTTAAAATTGGGAGTTTTAAATGGTTTTGTTAAACGAAGCAAGATCTGGGCAACATAATATGTACCATTGTTATTGTCTGAATGATCACTTGTCTTCACACCTGTCGCTCGAAGCAGAATGAGCTTTCAGGTCATTCAAACAATACAGGTTTTTTTTATTTAAGGTGTGCAGTTATGAAAAGATGCTCACTCCATCTGTAGAACAGGCTGGTGACTGGCGCGTATTGCATGCAGCAAATGGATTTGGAATGTTTCCAATTGTCTTTGCATCCAAGACACAGTGTGGTAAATGCAATGCTATGCCTTCACTTGTGTCTCAAAGTAGCGAGCCGTATACCACCACAAATCACCAACCTAACACTGCCCACCCCCCCTCAACATCTCTCACAGGATACATCATTGACCGACAACAACAATGTTCCAAAATAGGGAATTATCTTGGACAGCGACGTCTAACCTGCAAAGGTTACACGTTGCCGACTGTCACCTCACGTGTTATGCATTGCGACTGATATGTCACGACAAGCAAAAAAGAAAAAAAAACAATGGGCATTTCGAGAATACAAACGAAGTTGTGATTTGGATAGGTTTCTACCCTTTCTGGCAATAAAACAGGTGTTAAGATGCTCAAACACCAAACAGAAACCTTTCGCAAGGTATCATGTCTGCATTAACCAAACAGACTTGTAGTGAACATGCCAACAAAAACATGCTCTGGTAATATATGCATTGTCCTTTAAAAGAATTGGTCTACACCAGAGGTCGCAACCGGGTACCCGATACCCGTACCCTAGACGATACCCGGCTACCCGTAATCGGCCAGGTACGGGTACGGGTACCCGTTTGCGACCCTGGTGCGGCCGGGTACGGGTACGGGTAGGCCGTGAGTCACTGGTGAGTAACCGTTTGTCACTCATTTCGGGTAGGGTACGGGTACGGGTAGGGAACGGGTACCCATTTGCGACCCTGGTGCGGCTGGGTACGGGTAAGGAATCAAAACCCGTTTGCGACCTCTGGTCTACACCAGAGACAACCTTCTTTAGGGCCCATGTTGTTACGTTGTAATTTATTAAATGTATCACGAAGCAAAACATTTTACGGAACTAAAACATTTTACCGGAGCACCGAGAAAGTAAGACGTTGAAAATAAAATAAAAACACTTTATTTTCCAATAAATAAATAAAAGTTCACATTCAGACTGTGGCTTAGCCATCGAGTGTGCAGGCGGTGCAACTATCGAGGCCCAGGGCGCCAGGCTACGAGAAGGGGGCTTTGGGGGGGGGGGCACAAGATGTAATTTATTGCACCAGGGCCTGTGCCAACCCACGCTCAGTCCAAACCGCTCGCATCAAATCTGCATATTTCCAGGGTCACGGCGCACAACTCCATTAGCCTCACAGGCTCAATGTTAAGGCTCCTGCCGTATGGGGATGCCTTGCAGCGGACACGCGCCGCATGAAGGCGCTCCGCTCAGATAACATTCTTAACGATAACCGTAAATGCACTCCGCTCCTTTACAATTACTTCAAGCGAAAGGAAATTCCGACAAACGGCAGCTGGCTGGATATGCGTTACTTAATTTACGAACGGCTGCGGATGTTGGAGGTGGTAAAGATGGATGAGGTTGGTGGTGGTGGTGGTGGAGGTGGTGGTTGAACCTTCAGAAGACAGGGCGGGCGGGGAGGGTGCCCTTATTCCTCGCAGGTTTAGCAAACAGGTCACACGCTGTCTCAGCCGATGTGAGAGAAAATGTCTTGTGGCATGCAATACGCGGGCGATGGAAAATTTACGTCAAACGTATGGCCGAATGGTTTTCCAATCCTCCACCCCCCCAACCCCCCTCTCGAAAGTAATAATTTGTGACAACACCGAAGCACCTATATGCCCTATTCAATTGCCGCATTAAACAAACAAACAATACCCCCCCCTCCAACAACCACACCGGGGCATGACAATGGCCACAATCAACTGTTGTCATGGCTACGCTTTAATGCGCAGGGAACAAGACCACGTGCGTTCGTTAAACCGCGCGTTTGTGAAACCTTTCCAATGACCTGGTGGCCCTTGCAAAATGTATATATAATCAGCAGGCGATCTATGGGAAATTATGTGCTTGTTTATTTGTGTACTTCCAATGCCCATAAGCATCTGGCAATTCATCAGTGTTGCTTCAAGCAAACCCGACTCTTCTTTTGAGACGCTGAATGTAAAAAAATACTGGGTCCAGAGTTTGTTTGTGTCGAACCGTTGCTGCTGAAATTCCGGAAGGCTATGTGGCTGGTGAGATGTGCACAAAATACATTTTACTGGTAGGAACCTCCTGGTTACACCAGCCCACAGGGGATTATTGTGTCCGTCCGTCCGTCGTGCAGGGAGGGGCTGGGTGGGGAGGGTGGGGCTGGGTGGGGGGTGGGAGGGGTGGGGCTGGGTGGGGAGGGGCTGGTCACCCCGTGGTGCCCTTATAAAACTCAACGTTTAACCGACTCACGCCGGCTTGTGCCCGCCCTCACAGTCGGGCATATTTGCGGAATACACCACGCCGCCGTTGACCCTGGCCATTGACAACGCAACCCAACGTTCCTACCAGCTCCCTCCGCAGGAATGTGTTTATTTTCATGTGGAGGGACAGATATGGGACAGATATGGGAAATAGGCATGTTGTCTGATTATTTATTATGTAGTATACATCCTGCCTCTATGTTATTGATATTCTGAAGCATAGTGGTCATTGATGGAGTAAGTTAAATTAAAATTGATGTGGTTGATGTCATGGAAACAAACATCTCCTGCATGTCAAAACTGTACCTTAAAAAGCACTTGTACACACACAGTAATGTTAACTTAAAAACGCCATTGCTGACGGAAGGGCCTCCGCTTGAAGCAGCGCACTGGAGAGGCCCTCTGGATGGTGTTTGGCCTACTCTTCCACGCTGGTCAGACATCTCGGAAGAGGTGAGGGGAGACCCACACTTTTACTCCACCCATATGCGGCCTGCCGATTGACCAATTGTGGTACACCTATTTGCACCGCCGGTTGAACAGAGGCAGAGGGATTTAAGAAACGTGCCCACTGTTTCGACTACCGCGCCCCTGGAGGTGGAATCGGCGAATCGAACCAGTGACCTCTGGAATTCAAAGTTGCAATGTGTTAACTATTGCACGGTGGCAGAATTCCACGCGATGCAATTAGGTTTAATTTAAGGGGGGTGTAAGCGTGGGAGCCATGTGGCAATGTTTGAGAGGACCTGCTTTATCACAGCTCAAGGCCAAGAGGGTCATGTCATAGCCCACTCAGGAGCATGACTCAAATCCTCCTCTGCCGTTTTTACACTTCAAATCCCTCAGCTTGAATTCCCAGACTGGCAGCAGTAAGCCATTGTTTTGTATTGTGTCCTGGAATAAGCTTACAACACGATTCCCCATCGTACCCATGGACCTTTGGCTTCCAGCTATCCTGTATGTGAAAATGTGTTATTCGGTGGCAAATGTAACAAACAACTGGAATAATTGGATCTTGTTGCATTTGTAACAAGTGCATTGTAATATAATTACTCCATTTATTTGTGTATTTTTAATGACAAGGCTGTGTGTCAGAGGCAACTGAAAGGAAATGTACAGCTTGGACGTAATTGTGGGATTCGCAAGAGAACAGCTGCCTCAAAGACACATTGATGAATAACATTTGACAGAGTTCAATATAACGAAAACAATAACACTACAAGGGCTACTTCGGTCCACGGAATTATTGGAAAAAAAGAAACTGCCAAATAATTAAATGAATCCACATGGGACCTTTGTATACGCACCTACTATCTTTACACTAATAGGATAGGGAAAAAATGTTTTTCATTTTAATTAGTGCTTTCTCATGCCTCAATTAAAGAACAGCACTGATTGCATGTCAATAGTAACATCACTTTCTGGTCGCCTGAGGTTTTAATTAAAAGTAATTGGTGATTTATAAGAGCTGCTTATAGCCTTGGAAGCGGAGCTGCAAACAAGTGTTTTTTTCTCTCTTTTTTTAGAAACCTCAGTGGATGTGCGATTATTGTGTTAGACCATAGCAAGGCCCTGGTATTAAAACGATGCACGCTGCTGGCCACGTCCAAAGTCATGCAGAGGAAAGTGAATGGGTTTGCATGTAACTGACGATATCAATTCTGGATGCACAGAGATGTGTACACTTTGGAAAGACATGGGCTGTATGTGCGTGCGTGTGTGGAAGATCTGGACACAGTCCTATCATGCCCAAGCAGCTTCTGTTTGGCTGGATAGAGGATGGCTAAACGGGCACGTCTTGGGGCAAGAGAAGAGATGGATTACTGCGGCACAGAAGGACATGGAGCTGGTTGGACCTGCTGATGGCTGAGAACAACGGTGTCAAGATCGGCCTCTGTGAAGGACACAACTAACTGGACAGTTTGAGGCAGTTGCCCTCCAACAATAGCGGCGGGCAGAGGAGCAATGCTCACAACAACAAGCAGAGAATCAGGCGGATAAATACAACAAGCTGGCATCGTGGGGAGCACAGGTGGTACATCTGCAAGCCTTCTCACTCAGTCAATCCATGGCACCTGGGTCTGTCCAATTATCATTTGCCGGCGAGCCTTTGACACTTCATGTCACCTTAAGATGAAGCTATTCTAGATTTGAAGTTTTCGTGACTGTAAGGATCCATACTCTTTGGTTCTTTCGGTAAAGTCACGTAGGTGAAAAAATTAAAAAATGTAAAAAATTAAAATACAAATAACAAATACAAAATATAAAGAAATCACGACGTTTTGATTGCAACACAAGCAATCATCATCAGGTGTGACAACCACAGCAATAAAATTGTTTTACTGAAGTGGGAGAGATGCCGGAGTTAAGGGGATTTATATAAGTCAGAGAGGGGGTTGTGGGGGGGCGTTGCGTGTGCGCTAGGGACTGGGACGTGAGACTGGGCAGGGGGGGGAGTGGGCGGGGCTGTAAGTAACCTGACGCAGTGCCAGGTGCGCGGGTGGGGATGAAGCAGAGGTCGCAAACGGGGTTTGATTCCTTACCCGTACCCGGCCGCACCAGGGTCGCAAACGGGTACTCGTACCCGGCCGTACCCGTAACACTACCCGTACCCTGTACCCGGCCGGGTACGGGTAGGGTACGGGTATCTGATTGCGACCTCTGGGATGAAGCCATGTTGCAGGCGCGGGTGGGTTGATTCTAGGAACTTGAATTGTGAGAAGAGACAAGACGTTGGGAAATGAGTGACAAACAGTTACTCACCAGTGACTCACGGTCTACCCGTACCCGGCCGCACCAGGGTCGCAAACGGGTACCCGTACCCGCAGCATCAACATCCTGGCACCAGACAAACTCCACTCTACACCCTGGCACCAGACAAACTCCACTCTACACCCTGGCACCAGACAAACTCCACTCTACACCCTGGCACCAGACAAACTCAACTCTACATCCTGGCACCAGACAAACTCCACTCTACATCCTGGCACCAGACAA